CCCCCCCAATCTGCATAGGATAGACAAGAAATCGTGTCCGCAGCAGAATTGTGTGAGATAGAGAATAGGTTTGTCGAGTTGCTTGTACTATTCACTTTTACACCTAATGCCCGTTACACACTAGTGCACTTCATACAATACTTTTGATACATTTTGAAGACGCTTTTAGGACGGAGGGATGTCATCAGAATATTTTTAGGACGTCCTTTGAAGATGTGATCTGAAAATAGCTAATATCCAATAAGTTTATTCGCATTAATTGAACTTTTTACACTTTCACACTTAGTGCATATTAATTCTTTAGAGGTTCTAAAAATGACGTCATAAGTTCCGTTCGTGTTACGAGTGTAATTGCAATTTTGATACACTTTTTACACTTGATCCCAAGCAAGAGTGAAAAGTGTATCAGAATTGCATTTACACTCGTAACACGAACGGAAAACATGACGCCATTTTTAGAACCTCTAAAGAATTAATGTGCACTAAGTGTGAAAGTGTAAAAAATTCAATTAATGTGAATAAACTTATTGGATATTAGCTATTTTCAGACAATTCACACTTTCAAAGAATGTCCTAAGAATATTCTAATGACGTCCCTCCGTCCTGAAAACGTCTTCAGAATGTATTTTTGAAAATTTGTGTTATTTGGAGTGCACTAGTGTGCAACGGGCATTAGGTATAAAAGTGTGAAAGTACAAGCAACTCGACAAACCTAATGAGTGCAATTTTCCCCTCCGTATATGTACACACTATCGACATATAGAATGGACTACTAAATGAGGTGGTGGAAGTAGGAACAGATGTAAAGTGAGAGACAGACAATAGTAGGACACATCCCTCTCTTTTCCAAGTAGAAGCGTAGCGCATAACATAACTTTAACCATACTGATAATTTATAATAAATGTTTCAAAGAATTACTTGTGATTTTATTCTAGTGTAACATTTTTAATATTTAAAAAATATTACTGTTTTATACATAATAACATTTCACTAGTATTGAAATGAGAATAAGTATGAATACATATATAAATAGGTAGGTAAAAAAAGAAATACAACTTGATATTATATATGCAGTAGTATTTATTAATTAGTGAACTGACAAAAATGTACCATTTTAACTTTTGTATTACATGATATTTTCGAGCAACGTAATACGTAATAGAGATGTAGCGTTGTTGTTGTTGTTGTTTTTCTATGGTTTTGGAGCTAAGTCCATTAACTAAAAAAGAAAGTCTAATAGAACAGTGGTAAGGAGTCACTCAAATTCTTCTTCCAGAACGCTTGATAAAGAGAGCAATCTCTCTAAAGGCGTCCACGTTGTCACTGAAAGCCACATCAGTAATTTCGATTGGTCCGACAACACCGGCGCGGAGCAGTCCAATCCGTAACAAATCAGACTCCCGACTATTACGCGGGCAATACAAAAACAAATGATTCAAAGTCTCAATCACACCGCACTCACAGCATGGGCTATCGACAATTCCTTTGTCAAATAAATGTTGAGCAGTTTTCATATGAAAAGACCTTATACGTCCTATAATCGCTAAAATATTCCTGTTCAAATGAGTAAGCTTTTTAAACCAAGGAGACAAAGTCTTCCCTTATAGAAATATCATACTAAGAATCATTGATAATTACTTATTTTCAGTATTAAAAATACTGGATAATAAGTAATTATCAATGATTCTTAGTATATTTCTATAAGGATTGATACGTGTTCTATGAAAATAATGAAAGCCACGCTGCACAGACATTTCAGAGAAAAACTCAAAAGTTTGTTGCTTTCAATAGTATTTACAAAAATGACATCCTTATGCGGACCAGATAAAAATCGACCGCAGGCGGCGTCCTTGGCCATAACATCAGCGGACTCATTACTCAACATGTCCTGCCACAATGCCACAACATCCTGATACTAGTCCTGACCAATGTCCTGATATCCACATAAAACGTATGATATATCCTTCAGAGATCAGCTTCAGAAATTGTTCCTTAATAATGTAAATCAGGTTGTGTTGCTTATTCTTGGAATTATTGTTAGTCAAAGTACTAATGACGCTTTTAGAGTCCGAAGCAACAATAAAACTTTTCGTGGTATTAGACTCCGATATGGCCAAAAGTGCGTGAATAGCCATGGCCTCAGCCTCGAAAATGAAAAGTTGAGAGGATAATTTGTAGCGTAAAGAGATGGGAGGGGATGAGGAAAAAACAGCGCATCCCACCCCAAGCTCAGACTTAGAACCATCAGTATAAACAATATTAAAATTAGATAAATTATCATTTACTATATACCTATGAAAACACTCCTCCATCTGCTGTAAAGAACCCACGAAGAGAATCCTTACCCCGAAGAGAATTAGCAAAAATAAAACAAGAGATGTAGCGTGAAATAATACTCTCGCGCCTAGCTTGGGACCTGACTTTCGCAGGATACAGTATTACTGAAATTCCTGCAGCCAATCAGACTTCAGTAAACAGAGACGGAAGATGTCCTACTATTGTCTGCCTCTCACTCTACATCTGTTCCTACCCCCACCATCTCATTTAGCAGTCCATTCTATTAACATGTTCAACTGGCTCTGGGTTAACCTACTCTGGGTTATTCAGCCTACGTTTATTGGTCGAACAAGTACTTATAAGCTTTATGATTGGCTAGTAGAGACTTTGACGTCATTAATCGCTCTCGATTAACCCAGGGCCAGTCGAACACGCTATATATGTCGATGGTACACACGTGTGCACTATACAAAACAGGAGAAAAGTGGGGGAACCAAGTAAAGCTGCAGATAATCTTTCAGAACCCCTCTTGAAAGTAAAATTGCGTACTGTGTTATATGTAAATATACAAAAAGAAATTCGACAGAAAATATATTTATTCGTAAGTAGTAACATTGTTCAGAGAATTTCAGAGAGTAATTTTCAGCAAGAGAAGTTATATTTTTATGAATGGAGAATAACATGTGACAAAATTAGAACGTGCCAAGTCTTTCACTACTTCCAATAAAATCAGTAATTACAAATATTGTTTACTACTTACGAATAAATGGATATATTTTCCGTCGGATTTCTTTTTGCATATTTACATATAACACAAGTATATATTTTTACTTTCAAGAAGGGTTCTGAAAGGTCATCTGCGGCCTTATTTGGGTTCCCCCACTTTTCTACTGTTTTGCTACGGCGCATACGTTGTGCGCATGTACGGAGGGGAAAGTTGCACTCATTCTCTGTTTCACACAATTCTGCTACGAACACGGTTTCCTTGTCTATGTTCAGCCCATATATTATAAGTCCATGGTGTAACCATGGACATAGGCCGGTATTCATAGTCTGATCTTATATTTAAGATCATCTTAAGTACTGTCTTAAGATGTCATGAACCAATCACAGAGCCGTATTTGCATCTTAAGACATTACTTAAGACGGTCTTGAAATAAGATTCGACTATGAATACCGGCCATAGTATACATGGACTCCGAATGCCCTATGTTCTGTCGTCTAATAGAGTGAAGTCAACATCTAGAAAGAGAGCTAGAATAGAGAGGCTATAGTTTTCTTCCTATTTTGTCACTTTTTATTGCGCGTGCATCCATTTCTCGTCTCCATAATATTATAGAGCGCAACAGCACCCCGACTAAACTGACAACCCAGTAAACATGCATGTCTAAAAGATGTCTAAAAGATGTCTAAAAGATATCTAAAAGATATCTTATGCAACATTTTGTTGCATAAGACGTCTTTTAGATATCTTTTCGACATCTTTTAGACATGCATGTTTATTGGGAAATAAGTCTTACTTAAATTTTATTGCACACTTTGTCTGTGCAGAAAGAGACTGAGAACAGAGAGGGGCTGTATATATTGGCTTCACTTTTCTGACCGTATGCGAGGTCCATGTATACCACGTCCATGTGTGTAACCAATAAAATTGTCGCCTTTCTGTAAAAGCTGTAAATGAATTTGTTGTTTTTTTCTCGGATCTAGATCTCGGACCGATTTCTAGCATCGTGAATACAAGCCCTTAGGCCGATATTCATAGTCGAATCTTATTTGAAGACCGTCTTATTAAAGGTCTATTTTTTTCAGCTGCACTGCTGAACTGGTGCAATAAGTTAAAGTGAGACAAGTATATCTTTTCTCAAACTAACTTATTACACCAGTTCAGCAGTGCAGCTGAAAAGAATAGACCATGGTACCTATTATGGACTTCTTCGCGGAATCAATTCCGATTGGAAACATTCAGTTATTTTCTAGATTTCTAATGTCTTTTCTGGGAGAAACGGGATTATTCCGATCAGAATTGATTCCGAAGAAGTCCATAATAGGTACCCATAAGACAGTACTTAAGATGATTTTAAATATAAGATCGGATTATGAATATCGGTCCTAGGTACAGACTTCTATATAATACTAGACTGCTGACTCTCTAAGGGTGCCATTACATGAAGCGCGGAAACGCGAAAACGCGGAAGACAAAATCTTACTAAATTTCCGCGTTCTGCGAATTGAATCATTTCTTCCCGTACATTTAAAAAGCGAAAAAGCAGAAGGCCCAAAACTTTTCTCTATTGTCTTTTCATCCAAGATACCAAGGTATGAATTCCAAAAAAATATCAGGTTTGAACGTGTTTGAACACGTCTTAATGTAACAGCGGTTAGATTGAACAACTTGTGATAACTTGTGACAACTTGTGACAATAGATTTTGATGCGCTTGTTCCGCGACTTTATTTCTTTTTATATTACATGGAGCACTATTTACGCGGAAAAGCAGAACGGTGAAACGTCTGTATTCATTTTTTTAAATTGTATTCACTTAATTTACTGCAATTTTTACTAATATGTTTTTCTTTTTAGCTTATCTGTTGAATACAAACATTTTAATTAATAAATACCGTTAAAAATTTATACTTTATA